CCAAGATATCTGCAAGTCACTGCTGATAAAAGTGAACATGATGGAGGGGAAAATGCACGCCATGGAGAAGCTGCTCCATAATGTGGCTTCTCGGCATTCTGAGAGCCAAACTCAAGATGATCTGCGCCTGGAGCTTTGTAAAGATGCGGAGGACTTTACCTTGCTTGACAATAACTTGCAGGACAAGGCATATTTCCAGCAAGCTGTAAGTAAACAATTGTAGACATTCAGAAAATGGTTTTAATGAAATCTGATTTTTAATTTGATCAACTTTGTACAATTTATAAGGTCAGTTTTCTAAGTCTCATTGGAGGACGGAAGCTGGGAGAAAATACAAGAAGGACCATGCTGGCTGTCGCCAGCAATGCTGTTTGGTGTGGATACCGCCTGCATGGGAAGAAGCAGAAAGCCAAGCTGTGTAACCTTAAAATATTTAGGCTGATCAAACGTGAGTTGATGCTTTTTACTGGACTTGTTTTATAGAATTTCATTAAATCTTTTTACAGCTCTCTGTCACAACTGTAAAACGGTTTCAGTAATCTTAGGGTTTCCTGTATATCACCTGTCTGTTCCCAGGTGCTGTGAAGACCTCGCTTCCAGACTCCACAGATAAGGACATAGAGGTGCAAATAATTGAAGTCCTTACGCATGCTCCCCAGAAAGTCAGAAGAGAGGTAATTGATTTATGACTGAAAGCTTGTTGGAGACATTTATGTGCTAATTGCTCACTAATTTGTACCTCCTTTTTTTTCCCTTCAGGCTGAAGCACAGCATCGTGCCACACAAATGGAGGCCCATTCTTCTGAGGAGGACTAAGTGACCCTGCACCCTTTCTGTTTTATTTTTCTCTGTTTTGTTCACAATTTTAGATTTTTCTATTTTTATATACATATTTTTGATCATTTTTTTAAAGCGTCTTGTGGTTTTTATTTTGAGAGGCGCTATAAAAATGTTTTGTTTAAATTGTGTATGCAAATGTCAAATCTTTATGTAATAAAAAGCTGAAAAGTCAGTTTATTGTCCATCCTGTGAAATTGCATCTGATCCTGCTGCCTACTATTCAATTCAATTAAAAAATACTTTATTAGTCCCAGAGGGAAATTGATTGCTGCAGTAGCTCAGAATAATAATAATAATAATAATCAAGTCATCAAAGAGTTGTTGTATATTACAATGGCTGTTGGCAGGAAGGATCCTCAAGTCTTGTGAAGAGAATGCTCAGGGTTGTCCATAATTTTCTTGATTCTCTGGAGAATCCTTCTTTGCATTATCTCTTCCAGTGGTTCCGAAACGAAAACATATGCATACTAAACATATGCAGTAGAGCTTTTAAATGAAATCATGACACCGCTGTCCTATATTACTTGTTTTTAAGGTTTTTATACATTTGTTTTTCCATTCTGGTTGTTTTTGCTGTTAATCTGCCATTAGTTTTGCAGTATAATTTCCTGTGGTAAATAATGAATAAAGGTGAAAAAGAAAGTTAACCTGAAAACGTCTCTGCAACGTGTCACAAACATTTAGTTGGTACGTTGTCACAACGTTATAATAGCGATGTTGTCACAACATTGCAGTAAAGTTGTTGATATGTCGCGACAACGTTCCAGCAACGTCCTATGTGACGTTCTGACAACGTCGTAGCGGAATTTCACTTTGGAAGTCGCTACTACGTAACATGCGACGTTCCTGCAACATCACAAGGTGTCAGAAAATATGTTGCGACTACGTTGTTGCAACGGAACTGTGTTAGTAGGGGGAGTGCAGGGCAAGGTCCAGCGACTCTCAGCCCAGTCCTCTGCTAGGGCACGAAACGTCTTTCGTGCGTGGATTGCAAACATCACTTCCAGCGTAAAATCACTGTCGTCCAGTTATTAGGAAAAAGGTGCAATTAATTTTTACCCACCCAGCGTGCTATTCAGCTGGCCGTCTGCTCTCCGGAGCTTTTCCACCAGAGCTGATCCATCGTCTCCCGTCTTTTACCAGTCATCAACCAAACTTTCTCACACACTCAAGAGGTTCACGCACACACGGCCGCAACTGGCCCTCCTCAATCAACTCAAACCACACTGCCAGTGGTTAAAGAAACAGACGCAAAATGAATTAATGAATTAACTTAATGAATTAACTTACTCCCCTCCGCGTGGTAAAGCTTGGTTTATGCTTGACGCATTCACTTTCCGCGCGGTGATGCGGCTCGCGGATGGAACGCGCTTCACAACTCGCAGCATTTATGGTTTGTGCGGCTCGTCTCTGCGGTGAGTCAATATTCTCTGAAACTGAACGGGGCAGCGTGGAGCTCTACAGCATGCATCCAACACTACACCAGAGTAGAAGTAGAAATTACTGTTTACAATATGGCATTTCAGCATTTTTAACAGCGTCCTCATCTTTTCCGACAGTGCGAGCTTTCTCTCCAAGAATTATTAACAACATGTTGATCACGGTGATCTCTGAGAGCTGAAGCATACAAATGTTTGTATTTACGAACCTCTGCCATACTATTTCTTGCCGGTCCGCCATGTTTTTCCGCGTCCGACCGTCCGCGTGGTTAGAAATTTTCTGAGGTGCGCGTTGCGGAAATCTTGGGCCGTGCGGAGACGCGGTGGAGGGGCGTGGTTGTTAAAATGACGCAAAATGACGCAACTTTTCCGCGCGGAGCCGTGCGGACCTCGCGGACGCGTCAAGCATAAACCAACCTTAATTCCGTCCTGGGGTCAGAGTGCGAGAGCCTGTTGATAAAAGTTCGTCTGCAGAGCTATATTTAGCCGGCCGATGGGGCAATTTTAGCCCCCCGGACTTTCAAAGAAGAGATGGCGCCGCACGGCTCCCTGGAGACGATCTTCCATCGCTAGGCTCTGCACTGCCCGCATCCTCCACCACTTGTTAGGTAATTTGATTTGATCCCATATTACCTTAAAAGACGACACACCCTTTGATAGAGAGAGAGAGTAAATTGCTTATTTGTAATGTCCATGTGTGTGGCTCAACCAGCCCCCACTCTGCTCCAGCCTCAAAGCTTTTTCCTCACCTGCTCTGTATACCTGCATTCTGCAATTATCTAGTAGATAATATTTAACCTCCATAACTCTGGAACCTGAAATAAACACACATGACAACAAGGAAGACATTTTACACTGAATTAGCCAAATGGGGGGGAGATCACCATGACACATAACTCTCTCCAGAGCTAGCTGCCAGGCGACTCCCCCCAATCCTCAGTCTTCAGTGGTTTTATTCACCAAATGGATGGGGGAGAAGGCGGGGCCTTCTCAAGTTACAGAGGTACAGAGTTCTCTCAATTAACATCCTTGCTCAACCTTTTTATGAACAGCCAACACCAGTGTTGGGAGTAACGCCGTTTAAGTATAACGGCGTTTCTAACGGTGTTCTTTTATAGGTAACGGAATAATCTAATTAATTACTTTTCCCGCCGTTGCAACGCCGTTACCGTTACTGGGGACGGAACGTTGTGCGTTACTATGTGCTTGTCGAACGTTGAGCAGCTGCGTGAGGATTTCTGACCCCCACACTTCAGCTGCAGCCAGGGAGAGAGAGGTGTCGGTAACGCACTTACAAACACGATGATGATTGGCCGGGTGGGCGGAGACCCTCACTGTCTCAGTCGCTGCCTGCTGTAGACACAACGGGAATAACTCCGTTTAAAATAACCGCGTTAATAAAAAATATTTCTTTCTGTAACGAGCAAACTAATTAATTACGTCTTCTTTTATCAAAACGTCGTTCCTGTTACTGATAAGAAAATGCGTGCAGCAGCGAATCTGCGGGTCTGCAGCCGTGACCTTCTTAGCGTGACAGCGGGACGTCCCGAAGGTCCGCTCACCTGTTCACCGCTCAGACGTCCTGATTTTCTACCTTCCTAGATCATCCAGCTGTAACCTGTTCCTGATCATGTCTTTAGTCCCGCTGTAACACTGATGCATCACGTCATGGAGCTCAGGTGTTATCAGAACTGCCTGTGTGTGTTTACCGCCCAGCTTCAGCTCTTCTGTGTTTGGGTCTGACCCAAGTTAGTACATGTAAGTCCTCCATCAGGCTTGTGCCTCATCTAGTGTCATTTTAAAGGCTTTTATTTATTTATTTAACCATTACTAGATTACCAGCAACAGAAATGCTGCTAAAACACACAATTATGTGAAGCTGGAAAAATTAAAATGCTGTGCAAAATTACATTTATTTCTGTAATTTAACTAGACTGAGAGACCATTTAAAGGCTCGGGAACCTTTACAGGTGTTTCTATTTGCAATTTTAAATTTTAGCTGATTGGGGTCTTGTTAAATATCACACAGTGACCTTTTAATAGTCTAGATTAGTGTAATGTTCCAATTAGTAGTTCCTCCTGTTAAGTGCTTATTTATTTAAATTATTCAGGTTTATATAAAACATTTGGACATACGTTTTATTATGTTCCAGTCATTAGTCATTTATATTTTACTATTGTAGTAATTCTTGCATTCTTTGATGAAAAAAGTAACTAAGCAGTTACTTTTGTTGGTAATTAGTTACTTTTATGATCTTGTAACTCAGTTAGTAACTGAGTTACTTTTTTGACAAAGTAATCAGTAACTATAACTAATTACTTTTTTAAAGTAACGTTCCCAACACTGGCCAACACAGAGATTATCTTTTAGGTCTCAAAAAGGTACAATAAAAATACCCAACAGTATCCGTGAAAACAACAACATGTTTCCCAGTTTGGAAGAGATAGTGACCGCGTTTGTTTGCGCTTTAGTTTCCTCGTCACTCAAAGTGTGGTGCTGTGCCGCGACTCGCCATGTTGCCCCCAACTTGTTGTTTTCTTCCGGTGTTCTGGCGCGTACAAGACATCTCGCTACTCAAAAGACCAAGATTCCTTGCGAACAGAGCATGCGCAGAACACACGCTTTGATGGGGATATCCCGGTATGCGTTTACACGACCAAACATTGGGGTTAGAAAAGGGTTACCCCAGGTGTAGTAACCGGGTTTTTAAAAACCTGGTTATGAGCATATCCGGGTTTTTGGCGGTGTTTACAAGGACCTGCGGAACCGGGTTATTGTGAATATTCGGGTTTTAAAAGGGTTACTGGCTGCATTTAAACGCACTGAATATGAAATGATCAAGTGTTGTGCTGATGCGGTTACTGCTGGGATCATTAATGAGATGAAACATTCAAAAATGTTTGCAGTGATGGCTGACGAAGCTCGTGATGGTCGTGTTGAGCAACTTGCTGTTTGTGTGTGTTATGTGGGGTCTGATGACACAGTGAAAGAGCGTTTTCTTCAGCTTTCCAACCTTGAGTCCTTTGATGCTGTTTCCATTGCAGACACCATAGAAAATGTGTTAGAATCAAATGGATTGCAAGAACTGAAATGTGTTGCACAAGCATATGATGGAGCAGCAGTGATGCGTGGTCCAGTTGGAGCAGTTCAGGCTCTTTTTCGTCAAAGGCATCCAGAAGCAGTTTATGTGCACTGCTATGCTCATGAACTTAATTTGGTGCTGTGCCACACTTGCAAGGCTGTGTCAGACGCCAGTGATTTCTTTAACACACTAGAGAGGTTGTACAGTTTCTTTAGTGTTTCTCTGATCAATCATAAGGCTTTCACTGACATGCAAAAAGTCTTGGGTTCAAAAGAGAGTCAGCTAGTTCAGCTATCTAAGACTAGATGGGCATGCCAAAGTCTGTAACTTGTGTCATTGCTAACTTCCCTGCACTGCTTAGGTGCCTGGCAGAAATGAATGATCCCATTGCAATTGGATTACACACACAACTTGTCAGATTATCTAGTGTTTATATGCTGGTGATGTTTAAAAGTCTGTTGTCCACTACAGAGGGGCTCCACAAGTACCTCCAGAAGCAGGACATAGCCCAGGCTACCATGTACAAAGACGCCGTCCTTGAAACTCTAAAATCAATGCGGACTGATGGAACTGCAGATCAGTTAGACAAACAGGCCAAAGATATTTTTGAGGCCAACAATTCACAAGATATCTCTCGAAAAAGAAAGCAAAGGCATTTAGATGACTATGTGGTGGAGTCTACCACAGGCACAAGATGTCAAGCAAGCTCTGGGGATGAGCTGAGAAACCACATATTCTACCCATGCATTGATAGAATGCTAAGTGAGCTGGAGAGGAGATTTAGTGGTGTTGGCACTGATCTGATGAAAGGCATACAAGCTTGTCATCCAGCAGCAGAGGACTTCATGTGTGGACCATCATTAGAACTAATTGCCAATCACTACAAGATCTCACTCAGAAAAGAAGAGATTGTAGTTGCAAAACACTTCCTGATGGGAAAAAAAAGAAGGCACCATTTCAGATGTGGCAAGTGTGTTTCTTCTTCTTAACCCTACCATGTTTCCAAGCCTCAGAGCAGTGTTTCAAGTGGCATTAACCATTCCTGTGAGCAGTTGCAGCTGTGAAAGGTCTTTCAGTGCTCTGTGTCGCCTACACACATGGCTAAGACTGACCATGGGTCAGAATAGGCTAAATAGCCTGGCTGTGATGGCCACTGAGAGGGATGCTGTGTATTCTGCAGACCATAACAGAGTCATAGACAGGTTTGCAATGATCAAACCAAGAAGCTACACTTTAATGATCACAAACTCTTGTAATAAATAAAAGAAAAAGAGAGACTGTGACAAACACAGTTTATTCCAGAGCGCAGTAACTAAAATATGCCACTTTATTTGTTTATTTTACTTATTTCTTCTTTACCTTCTTGCTTTTCTGTGATATTGGAAATAAATACCTACTGAAATATTGTTTGACTTTGCAGAATTTTTTCACTATTTAACATGCATGCATTGGAAACTAAATTTAGGCTACTTACTTTGTATAATTCTCTCTCTCTTATATATATATATATATATATATATATATATGAATAAGATATATGCTGTAATATTACAGTGCATAAAATTATATAACACTTGTTTTTACTTAAGTGAAATGTCGCTTATGGTCTGGGCTCAGCCCAGGTGTTTCATAAAGCCTGGAGACGCCCCTGGTTTGGGGTTTGCCGGCTTTAGGTTTAGCTAATGAATGCTAAGTACTGTTGGACTATTACAGTTGGTGCATAACTTATTTTTGTATCTTTGTGGTTTGGACATTAAGAGCCTGATATTTATTTTACTTATAATTTCATTTAATAAAGGGGATTTATTGTATTCACATTCTACCTGGTGTTAAATGGTATTTGAGCCTGTGCCTCAGTAAAAGAGTGCGTAGGTCTGCTTAGTGCTAAACTTTAGTACAGTGCTTAGACCCAAAAGTATATTTCCTGAGAGGTAATTAAACAATTTGAATAAGATGTTGGAACCCAGAGCCCACTCAAGTAATTCCTGAGCTAAGAAGGGCTACATGTGGACAGCAAACTTTACAAGGAGCGAGGAGTGACAGACTGGCTGTATTAGCCCATCAGGTCACACATTTAATATTCTTATCAGGATTCACTGGGTTTGAGCATGTCAGGATTAAAGAGCAGGTCAAGCGCGCCTCCGAGTCCTTCTACACCAGTGGTTCCCAAACTTATTTAGCCGCGCATCCCCTTCTATGTCTCGACCATGTCGACGCATATATCAGATGTCACGCTAAACAGTCACTCGACAGACAGGGTTAAAAAAATATGATCAACCTTTTTCCCCATCACTTTCATTTTTATGTTTATGTATTATGTATTTGAGAAATAGTAATTAATAAACATTCAATATCATTACAATTTCCTTTGATTTAATTTTAAATCAATATTTAGAGTGTCCAGGTAGCACATAAACAATGCAATTTAACGGTTTTCTTAAAGCAGGAACGTTTAATGGGCTCGACACACGGGAGGCGACAACCGACCGCGATCAGCGAAATTTGTCGCCATCGATTTTATTACCTGACCCACGGGAGGCGATCCACGGCAGCGGACAGAGGCAAAGCCGTCTGCACGTTCTGTTCCATGGCGAAATCGAAACTTCCGTTGTTTTGTTTGGCTGTGTCAGGTTGGAGGGAATTAAGGTTATTTAAGCGGTTCAGAGTTAATATAGTGGTAGATATGATGTTTCACAAGGTGCTGCTAGAGTTAAGTGAAATCTTACTTCTGATTTTACTATATAAAACATAATAATAATCAACTTCTCCTTCATGTTTGCTCGGAGGTGTACGGAGCATCCTGCCCGCTCATTGGTCAGTGAATGAAACCTCCGTTGATTGGTCCTCGTCCGAGCGACAGCGATTAAAAGTTGAAAATGTTTCAACTTTCTGGGATCGCATCGCTGGGTCGTCCGTGCACGACATGTGCACGAGCGCAAAATTTCACACGCACGTTTTTCGCGTTTCGCTTGGTAGGAGGGAGACCCGCGATTATCGCTTTGTCGCATGTCTCATTGAAAATGAATGGAGGAGAGGCGATGTCACCTCCCGTGTGTCGAGCCCATAACCAGAGCTCTCTCCTTCCTTCTGCTCTGCGTCAACCTGAACTGGTCACCTACTTGTGCGTAATCAAATGTCTATAGGGGAAAAGATGGAAAAGCTATAGCCATGAGGTTCACTTTTGCCTCAGACAGACTTACTGCTGTTTCATGGTGTGGCTGAATCTGCGATCCGCTGCCACGTGGACTGGAATAACAAAATGCTGCAGCAACATGAGTTGTAGTCAGGTTCATGAGGAGTCACTGGCTCGAGCGGACCCGACTTCAATACGTCATCCCAAAATGGAAGCTAATATCTTAATTTGACCTTGAATGAAAAATGTTGTTATAAAACCTCTTAAAAAAATTTTATCACGGAAGTGGCAGTGCTCATTTCTGCCTTCAGTCTGACAGCAAAGTGCAGTGTGCTGTAACGGAATCAAAGTGATGTAACTATCTAAAGTTGTATTTTAATACACTGTTAGTAGTTCACTTTTTATAAACAGAAGAATAGGCTGTTTTTATCATCAGGGAGTTTAATTAAACACTCTGTATTGACTTTGAGACAAGAAAAGAGAGAGATATGGGATCGTTTGAGAATCTTTAATTTCTGAATTATAAATTCTAAACAATCTACCAGGACTACTCTGTGATGGATGAGAATGGATTCGGATGTTGTGTTGGTGCGTGTGTGTGAGTGCGTGTGTCTGGTTCAGATTCTCTAGGATGACGTAATCGAATCTGGTCGTCTTTGTTATGACTAGATATCACGAGGCTTATAAAGTGATGACATGAGCCGCTATTTTGCCGTGTACGTACCCAGTGGGGTCTCCCAAGTAGATCAGGAATTGCCAGGTCTGGAAACCTTGGATGTACGGTGGAGCTGTCGGTGCAGCGATCACAACGTTTCAAAGCCCGTCTGGAGGGTCGACCCGGTACCGTTCAGCGGCGTCAGCAGGTGCTCTTATTTTGAATGGACGTCGTCTGGTTGTTAAACGACGAAAATCTCCCGTTTCACAGTTCTTAGTTTAAAGAAAACGCATCCGGCCAGGCTGCGCTTGTCTTTAGGATGATGGTGAATAGAACTGAAGTCAAAATGGAACTGACTTAAAATGGCGTTGCCTTGTTTTATATCTCTGAATTGTTGATAAGTTTCAGTAAAGTAGATTGGACACTTGAAGTCAACACCAGATTCTCCTGCGGCAGCCGAAAGCTCTGATTGGTTGGAACAATGTGTCATGCGTTTCTATGGAGATGAGGATCAGTATGTCTGCACCGTAGTCCTGGTTTCATTAAACATAATTCATGACATATTTATTTCACAGATCATTCACTTGATTATTGTTGATCAACATCTGTTTTGCTTAATAATTTTAATCAAAATAAAGTACTTTGATTAGGTAAAGCTTCTTCTTCTCCTTCGGACTCTTCTGATGGAATGTAAACAGTCTGAGGAACAACCCGACCTTGGTTTTTCTACACGGTGTTATTGTGCCCAGGGGCCAGCTGTATGGAGTTGAAAACCATGAACTTCATAACCTTACAGTGCGCTTGTTGAATCAGTATGTGTGTGTGTGTGTGTGTGTGTGTGTGTGTGTGTGTGTGTGTGTGTGTGTGTGTGTGTGTGTGTGTGTGTGTGTGAGGCACAGCTCCATGAGCCGCTCCAGTCACTGCATCTCGTTATTGGCGCTATTTAAACCAATGTTGAAAAATTACTTGTGCCCAGCCCAGATGTGCTCACTTGTGCACCCGTGAGCCGTGGTTCCGCTGGAATGCGTCTGACCTCTGACAGACATACTCTGAACTTCAGATGTTCAGCGCGTTGTTAATAGCCTGACACGTTTAGAATGCTGTCCCACAGTCAGTGTGCTAACATAATAATATAATAATGCTAAAATGCTCAGATGGGAATCATTTCTTGATTTATTTAGTTACATCCACAATGTTCTGTGTGTGAGGTTTACAATGTCAGAACACCTGCATGAGACAGGGTGTTTATTACAATCTGCCAGAATGACTCACCACCTTTAGATTTCTCCAACATCGTTAAAAATGATCAAATACGGAACATATCTTGCTATTAACAGTGTGCGCAGGTCAGAGCGCTGAAGCTCGGAGCGCATTATTATTATGAAGCTAGGGCACATGTGGAGGACACACACACACACACAAGTAAAATATACTTGTTTTCAATTGCATTTATTGGGCCCACTTACTTTTCCTTAGGCCCACCCACAAATGAGTTTCTGGCTACGTTAATGGTGACATATGACAGACTTCTCTGAGCTCCGCAGCC